CGGGGTGGGGGTGCGCAGACGGGGTCCGCCCGGGGCAGGGACTGGGCGGCGCGGCTCCCCCGTGCCCCTCGCCTCCGGGTCACCGCAATAAACCCCTCAAGCGGTTTATTTAACTAAATAAACACCCTTTGGGCGTTATTCCGGTGCGCCCCGTTGTCCCAAAATCGGTGGGAAGCCCCCACGGGTGTGCAAAGTCTGTGTGGTTTGCAGAGGTGAGGGGGGAGCGGGAGACGCGTTACGGGGGTCCCGCATTTTGGGGTAAAACGCTGGAAACAGCTCATGAGGTGCTCGAGGCGCGGCTGGGATTCTGCACGTGGCCCGTCGGAGTTTTCCGGCTTTTTCGGGGGTTTTCGGTGGAGTTGGGCAGTGAATGGCGGTGGCGGCTGAGGAGCAGCATCTTACTGCCCGCCTGGCTTGCTCCTGCCCAGACACACAAACGCTCCTGGTCGCCCAGTTTATGTGGGAGCGGAAACTGGCTTTTGTTCGTGAAGATTTGGATTCTGACAAGGCCCAAACAAAGAGTAAAGAGGACAAAGAGTAAAACCAGAAAATAAGGAATAACCTTGAGCGGGACCCAGTAAACTCCCCTCTCCGCCTTGGTGCCTGCCTAGGGATGGACGTTATATGCAAAATGTAAAGTTAAAAATGCTGAATTATGTTGGACTTGAATGCTGTGAAGGTAACTTGATTAGGTTTGTGGCTAACCTGTGAAATAAAGATAATTTTGTATATAATATACTACATATATACACACACACGCACACACTCCAAATCTTATTACTGGTGGACTTGCATTTAGGTGGACTTCAGTAACAGTTGGGTTGTCATATACTGACACGTGAATCATTTAACTTCTGTTGTGTTTCTTGGTTTCGGGTCTTTTTTCCCTCCTAGAAGTCTGGTGTGATGCTACACCTATGCAAGAAGAATTAAGCTGACGTTATGTCAGAAAACTCGAACTAGTTTGCAGTTGTTCCATTTTTTTTTTTTTTTTTTCTTGGCAGGTGCCAACTCACATTTCCCAAGCTCTGCAGAAGGTAGTTGGACACATCAGCTCTGAACTGAAAGCTATATAGTAGCAATTAACACAGCACAGAGCTTGAGATAATGAACTTAGCAGAGTGCCAGGGTATGTTATTTCTGAGCTCGGCCGCATGCTGCCGCAGCGGTTCGGCTTCTGCTGGGGGCTCACTTGTGTCCAGCTGCGTGACTTGAGTTCTGTAGAAACAGGGGGGAGATGGTAATTCTCACTTTGTACGTTTGAGTTGCCTAAAATACACATAGGACTTTTCTGTGCTCTTAGTCTTCCCCCCCCCAAATGCCCCATAAACTGAGCGGCGCCACTGTACACGGAGTTTACGCTTGCAGAGGGTGGTGGAGGTGCTGTGTTGGCTCTAGCTGTGGCACTGCCCTGGGGAGCAGGGGGCTGGAGGCACCGACCCCGTACCGCTTCAGGCGTGCGGCCCGGAGTGCTCTCTGGGACCCTGCTGGAATAAAACTCGGTTGATGTCTTCGTTGTCAGCGTCTTGACCAGAGGATGAAGTTGTGACCCCTTTGGGTGCTGCCACCGAGGCTATACCGAAGGAGCTCCGCAGGGATTGCTCAGCCCAGAAGTAAGATTTTTTCTTTTTATCCAAAAGGGACACCAACCAAGGAGCGTGCTGCCCCAACAGCTTCAACTGCCACAGGTTTTCTGCTTGAGGAGCCTTCCCGCATCCTCTGGGGAGCTCGGGATGGAAGGCGCCAGCATTGCCAGCAGCTATCTCAGTGTCAGGACATGCCAGTCCAGTAAGTAACGGAGCAGATACAGGGATGTGTAATGGTCCTGTCGGACTAGAAAAAGGACTGCCTGGCAAGCGACTGTAGTGCCTGGGAAAGAAGACAGAGGCTTAGGGGCACATCAAGCTCATTTTTACTATCTTTATTAACCATAGGCTCTGCCCGCTCGATGCAGTCAGCTTGAAAACCTGACACGTTGAGCAAAGCCAAACTCTTGGTGAACGAGATAGTTTAGCGCCTGAAGATGCTGTGTATGGATTTAATTTAAACTGATGAGAAAGCGGTGCAGTTCTTGCATGGAAGCATTGGTTCCCTCCCATAAAAACAGTGGAAGTTTTGATGCTGGTTTCACTAGGGTTGTAATTTCACCTTCCTCCCCCGTCATCATTCCTTGGCTTCTCGTTGTTGGGGTTAAAAGGAGCTGGTATTTATGGGAGGAAATATCCCAGGCACTCAGAAGACTTTTTCCAAATACAAGTTCGTGTTACCTTATCAGAACGAGCCAGACAGCGGGATTATAGCTGGCGGGGTGACAGAAAGTAGGAGTGTTGGGAGGAGTGACTGTGTGCCCACAGCACACACAGCACAACGCTGCTCTGCATCTCTTACGCCGCTCCCTTCAAGGGGGTAGTCTTGCTGCACTGCCGCGGTGCAAAATGAGCTGTCTTAAATACAGCTTTCCTTTCCTGGCTGTAAATCAATGGAAAACAGCCTTTAGTCCCCATAAGTAAAGGCTGTCAGCGGTACGGATGCATACTCACTACCTTTTAGCGCAGGTGTAAATTCTGTCCGTTTTATTCCATTTGGCTCCTTGAGGTTTCTTTTTATGGCTTTTGCTGTTCCCCCCCCTCCCGTTAATGAGGTGTATTGTGTATAAGCTCGTATATAGGATGTCACCGCATTGACTGTAACTTACTTGAGGGAAGTAGATGGAGGCAGCGAGTGCCGCATCCTAGCGCGTGTGCCTCGCCGCTCGACAACTGAAATGGTGTTGGGCAACTTCCTGCGCCGAGATGCTGCTGTCAGCGGCACTTGGTGACTCACGTCAGCACGGGGCTTCGTCTCTCAGCAAGTGCGCGCTTGCAGACTGGAAACCTCGTCCGCATCCCAGCGCAGCAACTGAAAGGGTCGGTTTGGGTGCTCGTGGTGTGGCTCTTCCCAGATCCAGCAGCTTCCTTGGCTCCCAGAGAAAACACCCACAAGTAAAACAAGAAAACCCTGAGATGCTGCTTCACTTTTTTTCTGGCTGGACCTTTGTGTGTGATATGTTTATTAGTTCCCTGTCATATTACACGTGCCTTCTGACTTAGTGCACGCTGTGTGATGATGAACTCTCCATCCCATCCTCACCATGCTGGGTAAAAGCACACAGCGATGCTCTGGGGTACTTGCAAAGTACAATTTAAGTCAGGAAGTGGCAGACGGGCTCACCCATGTTTCGGTAATAAATTACGTCGTACGAAAGAAGTGCTGTCTGATGCCAGCCAGTGTCTTTATGACCCCTGGTACTCTGCCTCCTCCCTGTAAAACGCTGCAGAAGCATGAGGGTTGGGGCACACTCGCTTTTGGAGAGCGCTGCTGGGTGCTCCTCGGTGCCGAGGGCCCGGAGGTCTGTGCAGTTTGCAACCGGGAAGACTAGCTGTTGTGTCTGGGGCAGAAATACCCGTGTTACCGAACGGTTGCTCATGTACCCGGACCATTTAAAGAGAAGCCTGGAATTTGTGCAGATAGGAAGATTTATATCAAAAGTCAACGATGTGGATTTTGACTTTTTTTTTTCTCCTAGCGTGTTCAAATTTTTTTCTGTTGTGTTCAAACTAGACTTAGAGCTCCCTACTTTTTCCTCAAAGATTAGGATATGTTAGGGACTCCATTAAATGGGCTACTGCTGCTGCAGAAATCACTCCCACCCCTGCTCTTCTGCACCCTCTGTAAGGATTAGATTATAAGTTGGGAATGTTTTCAGCCAGTTTTGCCCGCTGGCAGAAAATCCTAATATGATTTACTCAGGTTAGCGGTACCCGTCTACGTTGGCTGCCTTGCAGGATGGCAGCTGTGGACTAAGGTGGCTGATGCCACTTCTCTGAACTTGCTAATGGGACGGGTTTGAAATGCAGGGCTGGGCTGAGATCAGGTCTACAGCCTCCAGCTGCGGCGCTTACGGCCGTGTGCGGGCCTTTGCCTACGGCCAGCGACAAACCTGGTCTCTGCCTTACAACCACACACACCTTGATGTGCCTTTGAACGGCACCACTGGGTACCTTCGACTTTGTCGGCGTGACCGCGTTTTCCATCTATTAAGTGCTGGATGGGTGGTATGCGGGTGATGCTGCTCGACCCTCGTGTTATTTTGCTTATGCATCTGGGTGTCCCACCAGTGTGTGTCGTACAAATTGCCATCGCGTTTTTATTGTGGACTTCGTGATGTGTGACTGGATGTATTCCCAAAGCCCATCTCCTGGAGCAGCTTATCTTGATACCATGCTCAGGCTTTGTTTCTTCTCTCAAATTATTTTCAGTGCGTTCCTATCTTGCAGTTTGTAGCTACTTTTAGTTTCCCAGTTCACGTGCAGTCCCCTGCTTGCTTCCTTTTTAACATTCTCACTGGATTGCATTATGCTTAGATTTGGGGCAAGTATGTGGTCACCTAAAAGCTGATTACTGGATGTGGAGAGAGCTCAGCAGCTGGAAAACTTGCACAAAGTAGAACTGAGTGAGTGGGAGCTGGGAAGCTTGCTGCCAAGCAGCAGCAGCAATCACTCATCCCTCATCCTCTGGTCTGTGAGGACCATCACCAGACCGGTTATCAGCCAGTTTGGTTTGGTTTAGGGATGTTGAGTAGTCAAAAGTATGAGCTAGTATGCTTTTGGGCTTTTGACCATGCCATATGAGAAGTGTCAGATGGCATCTTGTACTTCGATGGCTTAATTTTGCTAGCACGGGTGCCTTTCTTCTGTGTTTAGAGAAATTGGTGTCTTCTGTAGCCTTCCATCTGAAGGTGTACCTCAACATACAGACCCTGTGTGATTAAACTGGGCCATTTGTCTATACGAGAAACCTGCTTGGCCCGGCTGTTGCAGTGTGGGGTCACCGTATAGAAGAAAAGATAATTTTGTGCCACAACCATTACGAGCAGAGGGATTATTCTGATATAAAGTAATTTTGAAACAGAAAGCCAAGTTCAAGAGTTGTGGAGTAAAATTAAGAGCAAGTTGGCCGGGGAGGTCAGCATGTTGAAGAGCATCGCTCTGCCGTGCCTGGGGCTCTGGAGGAAAACCTGCGCTTGGGGAGCAGGACATGGGAAACAGCAACTGGTGACAGCTTCACGATCACGAAGTTGTGCTGGTAACGTGGCGGTGGCTTTGTGGTACGGCTCCGATGATGCTTTTAAATGAAATCTTGCGTAAGGGTCACTTGGGGCGAAGCTTCAAATCGTTGGCTTTGAGCTGAAAATCGGGAGTTCTGGTACTTTAAGGCTGAAGAAGGCAGAAAAGCTGGATGGAAAAGACGGCATTATGTTTTCTAATGTTGGTAAATTGGTACAGCCACCAGCTGAAACGTAGCTATATTCACTTCTATTTCAAGAGGATGGTAGAGAAACACGTGGAAGGGTTACCCTGGAAAGGAAATTAGCATCAGAATTATTTTGCAAGGCATTTGCTCAAATGGCTCACTTGTGAACATATCAATGGCTTACATTTTTTTGCATTTTAGTCCATTTAGCAAGCAGTGTACTGAATTTAAGGAACATGACCCGAAGGCATCTTTTGAAAAGCTACTTTTGAAAAGCTACTATTGGCAGTAAAGCATTTTTCTTAAAAGTACCGGGCCCTCCCTCTCTGTAACACCAAGGGGTTTTCTTAATAGTTTAGGTTTCACTGCTGGTTTTTTTTATCACTTCCCAATTTCTCTGTTAGACTGTTTTCATGTGCATGTTTTGAATCTGAGGCACAGGGGACCCCATCCAACAGTGACTGCAGCCTTTGGAAAGGCTTCACGATTGCAAAGTCTCTGCAGGCAGCGCTGGAATAAATGGCCCAGAGACTCTGGGCTGTGCACAGGGTCTGGACTGGGGTCTCGGCATGTCTGAGTTTACCTATCGTTTTCGTTTCAGATATTTACTTCAATCACAAACCCACTTGTGTGTGTGTATATGTGTACTCAATAAAAAAACGAAAACTTTTTTCATACAAGTTAGATTTCGGATGATCTCTCTTTCTCTCACTCCCTGCCCTTCCCCGGGCTATGATAAGGGTTTATTCCCTTACCTTTTTAAATTTTGCAGCGTTTCTTAACTTTTCCTAATATTGGACCTTTTCACTGGGTTTTGTTACTGCGTTTTGGTTTTTTTTCCTTGCCTTTAATTAGATCACAGAGTGTGGGAGAATATTGACATTAAAGGGGCATTAAAATGAGAGAGGCTTGGAAGTATTTCAGCAAATACCTGGAAAACTTCTCTCTTCCTTTGAGCCCACCGATGCCAAGGTTAAAAAGAAACCCTGGAGCTTGAGGCTTGACGGTCCTTTGGTTGGGTTTGGTTTTTTTTTCAGACTGGCTTTGAGAAGCCGATAACCACCTTTTTAACGGGTATTTTTAATTCCCCCCTGCCCCTTTGCAAGCCAAGAGGAGCAGGAAGGGCCCCGACTGCCACGGGTGCTGCCCTGGGGGAGCATCTCTGGGTGCCTTTTGTCACCGGGGGTGCAGCTGCCCGTTCTTCTCCTCTGCAGACAACGGGTCCCAGCTCGCTGAAATCTATGGCCGAGAGGCGGTTTTGTCCCTGGGAGACCGTAATGCCTTTAGTTGTCTTGGATACGTGACATCATATAGTGTTGTAATCAAATATAGGGGGGGGGGGCGGGGCGGACCCCCGGCCTGCCGAGCCGCCCGTGTGAGGTGGGCAGGGGATGGAGCAGGGCAGCCCGAGACAAAGGAGATGAGGGAGGGGGGGAAGGTTAAATTAATGGGGGGGAAAATGGTCTGGTGTCATGCTTTTAATGCTCCCGGTCAAG